TTTTCTCTTTTTTTTTTTTTTTTTTGAGACATAGTCGGAGTTGTCCAGGCTGGGCTCAAACTTGCAATCTTCCTGCCTTATCCTCCCAGAGCACCGAGATTACAGGTATGCACCACCATTCCTGGCTTAGGGACTATTTTATTCAACCTTCACTTCTATACATGTCTTTATGCTTTTATATCTAGAAAAGATAAAAATCTGTACTTATTTGTATAATTACTAGAATATATGCTGTATTTACAATATAGTAAAATATCTAAAAGCAAAGGGTTTTCACTGTATTTATATTTCTTTTAAATATAGCCTACTGCTCAGCTATTCTCACAAAATGACAAATGTATAGTAAGATTGTTCTGTTTTTCTCTATTAAGAACTATGGGAACAAAACAAGCTAGGAAAATAAAATCAGAATAGCATAGATCAGCATAATATTCAATATACTAACTTTAGTTGGGAGGGATCTGGATTCCTATTTTTAAAGTTTTTTACTGGAACACATTTGCAGTACATAATAATAGTTGGTACATGTACATAACACTGATTTCTGCTCTGATCTTTATAATTCCTTTCCTTGTACTAACTCCAGATTTGGATTGTTCTTGTATTTCTAGGATCTTGAAATTCATCATTAGGTTATTTGGGCTTATTTTGTTTTTCTGATCTGGGCAATTATAGCTAAAAACTTCCTTCCCTCTTAGGCTTGCTTTCATTATGTCTTATAAGTTCTAGTATGTTATACTGGCATCATCATTTAACTCTACAAACTTATTTTTTTCTTGATTTATGTGATCCTTTGATTATTCAAGAGTGTATTAATTTCCATTCATTTGCATAATCGCTATGGTGCCTTTTACCCCTTTTACTTTCACTGCACTATGATCTGATATGATACACAGTAAATTTTTGATTCTTTTGCATTTACTTAAAGCATGTTTTTTTGGCCAGTATGTGGTCTGTTTTGGAGAAAGTTCCATGAGCCACCAAAAAAAAAATGTGTATTCTGTTGTTCTCAGGTGAAACACTCTAATATATTTATGAAGTCCATTTGTTCAAACGTTTGGTTCAACTCTGATATTTTTTTGATTTTTTGTTTAGTTGCGATACTGAGTTATTGAGGTTTTCCACTATAATTGTATTTAAGTTTAATATCTTTTATGTCCAGTAGTGTTTGTTTTATAAAGCTGGGTCAGTTTAGGCTTACAATTCAATTTGAAAACAGAATACTTTCTCCTGTGTTTTGGGTCCCCACTGCATGTAATATTGTTTTCCATCCTTTGATTTTTAATCTACGAATTTCTTTTTGAGTCCAATGTGTTTCCTGTATACAGCATACCACTAAATTTTGTTTCTTGATCCATACTGCAAGTGTCTTTAGATTGGGAATCGAAATCATATGCACTGATATTTATAACTGATACTCACTTATTCCTATCATTGAATTATTTTCTTGTTACTCATTTCATGTCTCTTCTACTTAAATGTTTGGTGCATTCATTCTGTTGGACCTTTTGGCATTGTTAGGTTCACTGTCTCTTTCTACAATATACTGGAGAATTTTTTGGAGTGCCGGCTTGATGGTCATGGATTTCTTTTCATGAACTAGCTTTAAAGGATACTTTTACATATACGTGTGTGTATGTGCACATACCAATGCATGTGTTCATTGCACTTAAATTTGCAACACTAAAACTAAAAATTTTTAAATGTTAGTATTTTATGTTCAAAATCTGAAAATATACAAATTACTTCAAATTCAAAATCCATTAAAAGCGGGACATGGTGGGTGCATGCCTATAATGCTAGTACTCAGCAGGCTAAGGCAGCAGCGTTGCAATGAGTTTGAGGCCAGCTTGGGCTACATAGTGCGTTCAAGGCCAGCAAACCCCAAAAAACAAAAAAATCCATCAAGAATAATAATTTCAAATACTTGTCATCCTTGACTTATGGGAGTTCCTCAAGAACACACTAGCATGCTTATCAAAGCATTTACCTATAAAAGGCTCGAATATTTAGAAAGTGAAATAAAGGTTTAACTTTACTACTCCTAACAAGGTAGACTGGTGGAAAAATTAAAATGAACAAATTCTTAAGCTCAAATTTAAGACAGTCATTCTCATAAATATATGCCAATTCTAAATGTGGTATGTACACAATAGCCACAAGAATGTATATACTGTGAGAAACAATCACATAAACTGTAGCATTCTCTTTACCATTTTTTCTCCGGTATTGGACGAGGCACAGCATTGACACGGCAAGGGAAGTTGGGTTGACCTGACAGATTTCGGCCAAGTATTGTACCAACAAGATTTAGTGGAAGAATAACAAAAAAACAGATGCAACAAACAGCCACCTGTGAGTTAAATAAAAACTTGTGTAATTACTCAGAGTAACACTAATAAAAACAAATAGTAGTAACACTGATAAAAACAAAAGACGCCTAAAATTCAAACACAATATAATTTCACCAAAAAATGTTTAAATTCAATATGGCTTAAAATTATAAAAGATACATACTAATGAAAATAGAGAAAACATTGGAATTGAACCAAATATAAACTGAAATATTTCTTACCCATTTTTTTCCACACTATTAGAAATGTTTATTCTCTTCTTCTGCCAGCTTTTAAAATTTCTGTTCTTTATCTTTCACTGTTATAACCAACTTATGTGTCTATTTTATTGTGCTCCTAATTATGCCCAAAGAGCTTTTCATATATAAGTTTCCTAGTTTACACATGAAGAAAACAAACTCATAGAGGTTAGATAACTTTCCATAATCACAAGGCTGGTAGGTAGCCTAAAATTTCAAATAAGATCTTCAGCCTCAAAGCTTGAGATCTTTTCTATTCTACATTACTTGGAATCCTAACAAAAGGAGCCTATCTCATTCTAAGCATAGATGGATTGTTACTAAAACAACACAAGTACTTCTCTGCTCAGTAGTAGTCCAAAGTCTAAAATTATAGAGAAGGCCATATAGAGATCCTAGAACTTAAAGTAGACAATTAGAAAAATATTCTTGTGCTTTTTATTAAATCTAGTATGCAAGGACATATAAACTCTTTTCTGGTCAGAATCTAGTTAAGATCACTCTGAAATCTAAAATGAAAAATTTAAATCACCTCTAAAAATCTCAGTTACACATTTGGGATTCTAATTTTTAAGAAAAGGTGAAGGAAAACTGAAGAAATTAAGAGAAATGAAGAGGTATAGAGTAAAATAAATAATCAATCAGAAGAGATCAAAAGGTAATCTCTCCTGAGGCAACAATAGTGAAAATTCTCTTCACATCTGTGTGTGCGCGCGCCCACACGTGCGTGTGTACATAAACCAGAGAGTGTGTGTGTGTGTGTGTGTGTGTGTGTGTGTACATAAACCAGAGTATCATCATCTTCCTTTCAGATAAAACTCATATAAATGTGTAAGTTAAAGAGAGCTCTATAATCCCATTTTAGAGGTCAGGTTTAGGAACTCTCAGTTTAAACCTATGAATGTGAAATTATGTAACAATATGTGAAATACAGGTATTTCAACATGTTTTAATTATTATAAATGTACAAACATCTCATACATATGTAGGGGGTAAAAATTCTATCTCAATTTTTGCTTTTGACTACCTGTTACTACAAACCTTAACACATTACTATAAACCTTAACACACTAATAAAGGCTTTTGTATTTTCCCTTTAATTTACCAGATCTCTAATTTCAAATGAGAATTAAAGAGAAGCAGAAAGGCTTTCAAACTGTTCCACACAACCTTCAGGTCCCAAACAGCATCTGAAATCCTATGAGCATTTGGTTTCAAATCCTCTTCAAATATAAAAGAAAAAAAAGATTAAAAATATTCAAACTGAATGAATTCTATACCAAATTTTTTTTTTCCTGGTATAAGGGACTCAACTCAGGACTTTGTGCTTGCCAGGCAGGCACTATAACACTGAGCTACATCACGTTGGTAGAAATGAAAAATGGCAAAACTACTTTGGAAAAAGCAAACAAGTTTCTTGAAAACTTAATGACCCCATCATTCCACTCCAGGTTATCTAAGAGATATGAAAATTTATGTCCACACAAAGGCTTATGAATATTCATAGCAACTTGATTCATAATTATTGAAAACTATAAACAACCTAAATGTATATTACTGGGTAAATAGAAAAAAAAGCTACAGTATGCCCATGCAATGAGCACTACTGTACAATAACATTAGCAAATGTATTAACACCTGCAACATTAAAAATCCCCAGCCCTCAAAATAATTTTTGAGTGAAAAAGACAAAAAAAAAAAGCCAAACCATATGATTCATTTAAAGTAAGTTCTAGTTAGAGATGGCAAAACTTTTAGAGATGAGTGCCAAACTGCAACCCAAAACACACTTACAAAGTGTAGACACTGCAATTAAAGGAACTGAACATTAAGAAATACTGAGGCTTACTTATAGTTTAGAAAAAACTCATACATTAACACCTTTTCTTAAAAGAAAAACAAATAACAGACATGTCATAGGTTCACCACCACTGTTCCAGGTAATGCAAGCTAAGCTATGACAAGAGAAAGCAGACTAACAGAATGAGGGAAAGGGAGAAGAGGAAGGAAGGGATGAATTACAAAGGTGCTAGAAAATTTCTGGATGCGACAAGTAACCTCCATTTCTTCACTGTGTATAATAGTTTCACAAATGTGTACGTGTGTTAAAATATCAAATTCTATATTTTGTACATGCAATTTATCATATGTTAATTTTACCTCAATATAACTAAAAATATACAAAGAAAAATGGAAAAATCATTGTCCAGGGGCTGCCCATTGCTCTCAGAATTAAAGTAGGATACCTTTTGATAGAAAGGGAGAAAAAAAATGTAAACAACAAAAAATCTCCAATGAAGAAAAAAATACCTATTTTCATTACTAGCACAACAACAAAGAAAGTAGACTTTTTGAGCTGATCACTATCTAAAAGTCTTAAATTTTTTACCCTGTAAGGAATAACCATACATCAAGCTCTACCTCTTTGAGTTGTTTTAAAAACTAGATGAGATAGGGCTGGGGATTTAGCTCAGTGGTTCCGCTGCCTGCCTCCCAAGCACAAGGACCCGAGTTCAATTTCTGATAACCCCCCCCAAAAAAACTAGCTGAGATAATAAATAAAAAAATGCCTTGTAAACTAAAAAGTATGCTACAAATGCATGATTATCTATTCTCACTATAATTCATCTTTCTAGGTACGGCATGTCTGTCTTCAGCATTCCATTGTACTTGTCTCCTCCCTGATAGCAGGTTTTCAACTTACTCAGCAGATCACTAGGATTTCATTCAAGTTTACTAATAATCAGTTGAGTAGGTCAGAGTCAAGAATATCTACCATATTCTTCTAAAGGATAGTATGTGATATACTATGGGTAATATCTCAATATCTGAACTGTTTATTTTGACCACATTTCCCTATGTTGACCAATAAGACAGGCATTTCATATTCCTTTGTTCTTCTATTCTTCTAATACCTACCAAAAAGAGGAAATGAAGTTATTCTAGCATTTTTGCTTTAATTAATCCATAATGACTTCTAATATTAACCGTTATTTTAAAAATAAATTTTAATTACCCATTATAAAATCTTACTTTGTTAACATCAACTTCACTACATCTTGAAAGTAGAATCCTCTTACTTCTATTTCCTCCCAGAACAGTAATTTGCCTGTGGCCAGTTTTATAATACTTCTGCAATAGACACTCCAACATTCTTAACAATATGATCTTTACGTATCTGTAGTTATTTATATACCCAAAGAGACTTTCAGCTAACGTAGCTGAATCCTCCCCTACAATCAAATGCTTAACCTCAGATTTCATTTCCTTCTTATCAAGAAAATTTTTCCTCTTTTCTTGTATGAAAGTTATTTTATTTGGTGAAAACCCAAAGAAGGAGGAAATGGAACATTGGTCTTTCACTGCTGTCTCACTTATCCTACATAAAGAGCTTTTGCTATAGAAATATCTTTACAAAATTATTTTGTTTGCCATAGCATCTGTGAACAGTTCAACTTAGATAATGGAGTTTTCCAAATACTACTTTAATCTTTGTTATTCCTTCACACTTGGGGATTCTGTATTATTCTGAACACCTGTGAGACATACTGCTTTGTAATCTTCACCACAAAGAAACACCCATCCATTAATCTTAGTGCCCATTCTTCCTCACTGTGGGTAATTTCTGAACACATATTATGAATTTCATTTGTGAAAATCTCTGAATCTTAAATCATTTTCCCAGTTGCAACTCAAGACTTGGATCATGAGACAGCACTTTCCTCAACATTTGTGAAATCAGATTTCTAAGCCTGTGATATGTTTCTGCTTCTGAACAAGATTTCCCTATGATAAAAAAGGCCTTAATATGATAAATACAACATCACTCACGACTTCTGTTAGTTTTCCTTTATCAATTTCTACTCTCTAAAAGACAAAACAGTGAAGAAAGGTATGTCAAAGATTTATGACTGCACGCTGAGCTGAGTAATGTTTTGAGCAGAAAGGTGTTTACCTGTCATGCTACCTTGCCTTTGTGAGTTTTAAAACTCAACTTGGTTCTTTGTCCTTTGAAAGCTTACAACATCATATAAAAGTTCTAAGATTTACAGCTTACAAAAGATTCCATACCTAAAATCCTTTTTCAGAACATCCTGGCAAATCTATTTCCATCCCTAAGTAACTCTCATGGGACCAAACCCTTAGGGTGTAACACCTGAATGATCATTGTGCAAATCTGCAAAAGAAAAAGGTTTTACTTTCCCAGAACCACTCTAATTTCAAGGGTTCACTCTCATTCTCTATAGTTATCTCTGCTAGAACATTCCAACTTTAGAAGAGGTTTACATATCTTTCAACAGTCTGGCCCATGTTTCATCTAAATTCACTCATGCATCTCAAAATATTCTTGACTCTAGGCACCATTTCTTAATCCTCCAACACTAGATATTAGGTTCAGAATATTATTAAAAACCTCTATCAGTGTTTATCCTTATTAAGCTTCTAAAATTGACTACTGTTGAACATGTTTTAATCTGACATGGATTTAATGGTTTTATTAAATTAAATGGTCTAATGTACAAGTGTATGTGCCTGAACAGAGAAGTTAGGGTCCAAAAACAAACTTCTTTGTTTTTTGCTTTTTTTTTTTTAAGACAAGGTCTTGCTATGTAGTTCAGACTGGCCTTAAATTCTCTATGTAGTCCAGACTGCCTGAACTCCTGGGAATTCCCCATCACACCCTCCCAAGTGCTGGTATTACAGGTGTGTGTCACCATGCCCAGCTGTCCATTTTTCAGGCTTATCTCAGACTAATCCTATAACACCAGCAGTATTTTTTTTAATAACAAAGCATTTATTGGCATATTTTAGGATTATCTAATGAAAACACTCATGTAGGGAATTTACACCTTGTAGATGGAATTCTGGCTAAACTCCACATCAAAAGTAGAGGAAATCTTATTTTGCTGGTCTCTCTAGAGGAGAAATCAGAAGCCTAAAGTTACTAAGATTATATTAAATAAAAAGATAGCCTCTTTAGTAAACGCTGCTGGGGCCGGAGATTTAGCTCAATGCCGCCACTGCCTGCCTTGCTAGCACAAGGTCCCAAGTTCAATCCCCAGTATTAAAAAAATTAAAAATTAAAAAATTTTAAAAACTGCTTCAGGAAAAACGGGATTTCAGCCTGCCATAGATTAAAACTAGACCTGTATCTTTCACCATGCCCTAAACTAAAATCAAAGGGTATCAAAGATCTAAATATTAAAACAGAAACACTAAACTTGCTGGTAAATAGGTTAGGTAGAACTCTTGAAGACAGGGGCATAAGAAAAGACTTTATGAACAAAACCTTAGTAATACGGGAACTAGCATAAAGAATCGACAACTAGGATCTCATTATTGAAAAGCTTCTGCACTTCAAGAGAAACCACCCAGAGAGTTAATCTACAACGTGGGGAAAAAATTTTACCTGCTGTTTCTCAAAGGACTACTATCTAGAATATATAAAGTACTTTTAAAAAATCAGACCCCCAAAGTTAAAGACCCAATTCAAAAATGGGCATCTGAAATAAACATATTTCTCAGGCAAAAAAGTAAAAGCAGCAAATAAACATATGAAGAAAATGTTCAGAGCTGGGGATTTAACTCAGTGGTTCTGCCGCCTGCCTTGCCAGCACAAGGACTCAAGTTTGATCCCCAATACCAAAAAAAAAAAAAGTTCAACATGACTGGTCATTTAAGAGATGCACTGAGATTCCACCTCACCCCAGAAAGAATGGTTGCTATCAATAAATCAACCAATAACAAATGCTGGCAAGGGTTGTGGGGAGAAAGGAACCCTTCTCCATTGTTGATGGGAGTGCAGACTGGTGCAACCACTGTGCAAATCAGTAAGGAGATACCTCAAAAAACTAGGATTAGAGATCCCATTTGACCCAGCTATTCCCCTACTGGGTATCTTCCCAAAATAATTTTAAAAAATCATACCACAGCAATATATGCGTACCCATGTTTATAGCAGCAAAGTATATAACAGCTAAAACTTGGAAACAGCCCAACTGCCCATCAACTGGAGACTTGATAAAGAAGATGTGGTTCTTCTATAAAATGGAGCACTCCTCAGCGATAAAGAATGAAACATTTATAGCTAAATGGATACACACTGAGGCCATACTCTTAAGTAAAATAAATACATGTGTAAATACTGAAGTTTCTCTGGTGTGAGAGACTGAAAGTGTAAATAAGGATCAAAATGTATAAGATAATGTGAAATAGGAAGAAAAGGTCTAAAGGGGAAGTAGGAGCGGTAAGGGAAGGGAAAGGAAAAAATATGAGAAAAGGAAAAAATGGAAACAGTGTCTTTGTAAATAAGGAGGAATGGAGGGCGGGCAGGGGAATGGGGAAAAATAAGAACCAAGATAGATACATCATGTAAAGGTACAAGTTCCCAATGACGAATGTCATCCCATTGTATACCTAAAATGTTCCAATAAGCTTAATGAAAAAAAGATTATATTCAATTGTCAATTGTGAACACTTTAATAAATCAGAATTAAAGTGAAGACCATCTGGATAAAGGGCTTGATGTCAAGTGATCAAGGGAACAGGACAAAAACTTGCAAGATCATCTGCAAATTCTGGTTTTCAGAAGAGGGTACTAAGTTATACAGCATCTGGCTTCTCAGACACATGGCACCTGCAGTCCAGGGGTCTTTCAGCTGAAGGACCCATCCATAGATGCTGAGAATTGGCATCGTGTGAACACTAGAGATTGTGTTTAACAGAGGACAGATTAACTGGCTGGGGATAATACGCTGACCACTGAAATTTTTAAATCTCTAAATGATACTGTGTACCCAGGGTTGAGAACCACTGTGTTTATAACAATAAATAACCCTTGCCTTCATAATATAAAAAAGTTCAAACAACTACAAACTTAAATAGTTAAAACACTTGTCTAGGTAGATTAAAACATTTACCACAAATTCTTAAATTTCTTATTTTAAACAAACTTTGATACTCTTAAATGGTTTAGAACACACACCTGGTTAAAAACTCGAGGCCAGCAGAATGTCTTTTACTCAGCATTCCTTCGTTAGAATGCAAATTAAGAACATGACAATGTAGGAGCCTGCTAGGTGCCAACAGTCTTTTATTCACAAAAGCTCAGTTTTGTAAACTTTCTCTGGCTCAGTATAGATCTTAATATGAATATTCTAATAATTAGTAATTATTAAATTATCTAAAGGAAAATTATTAATATTTAAAATCCCATTTATAAAGTCATTACATTTATAATTTTAGTGAAAATAAACCAACGTTGAAATATAAATTTTACCAATATCAAATTCAAATCTTCTGAGAAAAATAATGGAATCAGAATCTTACATTTTAAAAGCACTATGAAAGTAATTTGTTCAGCAGATCATCTTTTAAGAAGAAACTTGATTCTTTATATGTACTTTCTGATGGCCTGGAGCTGCTATGAAACATTTTTTTTTTTCCACTTTAGAAGCAATGAATTATTTTACCTGTTCCAAATCATTATCACTTACTTTGGCTTGAAAAAGAAATCCATTTTTGAATCAAGTTTCAAAATATTCCCAACTCTTACTAATTAAAAAGTACTAATGATTTAATAAAAATATATATTTGAGGTATCTTGGAAAAATGTGGGCTATAAAACAACCAAAATTCTGTGGAATTTCTGTGAAACCATAGTCAACTACTAGATAACAAAAGCTCAAAAAGATATGTGGTTCTAGCTGCAGTTATACCATAAACTGCCTACAAAAACCTTAATTATCTAATCACCCTGCAACTTCCATATGTGTGTGTGAATTGGTGTACAAGGATATACTTAGACTGAAGTCTATCCTGGGTCTAAGATTCCATTTCTAGCAAAAAACGAGGAATTAGGAGGCTGTAGGTTATCTATGTAAAATACCATTATATCTTGTCCTAATTTTCATATTATTTCAATGATCCAAAACATTTCAAAGCCTATGATTACAACTAAGATATTGTAATATCTTGGATTGCAACCTAAGGATTGTAATATCAATACCAATATAGTATTAGTATTAGTATAAATGCTTAAAAGAGTTCTAAAAATAGCATGTTAATTTTAAAATGTGTTATGGAAAAGCTTTATTTCCTACCACTACACTCACCTATCATCCTAAAACACTCATGTGGCTTGGTACATCATTATTCTTTCTCCAAAATCTATTCACCATAAATAGCTATAGTATTTACTTTTTTTTTTTTTTTTTTTTTTTTTTTTTGAGACAGGGTCTTGATACACAGTTCAGACTGGGCTTGAATTAATTATGCAGTTCAGGCTGGGTCTGGGTATGTAGCCCACGCTGGCCACTCATGGCAATCCTCCTGCCTTAGCCTCCTGAGTGCTGGGATTACAGGTGTGTGCCACCATGCCCAGTATTTTCTTTGGTCATACTTAAAGTCAACTTTTCACTTTACTGGCATACAGAATCAAGAAGGGGGTGAGGGGATTGAAGCTTTAAACATAACTAAACCTTTATGGAAGTCAACAACAGTTTTTTCCTCACTTAACTTTTCAGTACTGGATAAGAATTTGCTGAAATCACCAAAAACCCCAATTACAGGTGATCTGGGGAAAAGCAGGACTCAGAATGTTTATACTTACTCAGTTTATAAGCAAGATTCAAGCAACTTACCATTGTTCCAAAAGGAATGGCTCTTGAAGCATGGTAGTAAATGGCTATAAAGTTGATGAAGAAGGCAGTGCCACACACCATAGCTGGGATAAGAAATGCCCCAATAAACATCTGCTTTATCCATCTCCTTCCTGAAAGGGATGGAAAAGTATAAAACTAGAACTAGACAAAGACATTTTTATGCTTAAAATATAAGTGTCTTGGGTCAAATAATTTATTTAAAATTTTAATATAAAGATCATGAAGTTTGATATTCTAAATTGTTCCAATACAATAGCTAGTTGTTCCAAAACAGCTAGTGGAAAACATATAGCTCAGGAACAGAATGTAAAGATTTAAAATAGGATCATTATTAAAATTCAACCCTACAATCATAAGCAAAAGTAGTCCAAAGAGAAAATACTATAGGAAAAGCAAAACCCAAACTTTTGTTTTCTTCCACATAAAGTTCTTTTAAAATATCTGTCTCTGAGAATTACAACCCCAATCTTAACATTCCTTCAGAAAAACTCCTTGATTTTGAACTTTCTATTTCATTTATTTTTCAGATGTTTGAAGAATCCTTCCTTTCCAATATCCAGCATTTGAACACTACAAAAATGGTGACAATTAATAAAAGCGTTTCTTCTCTTTAATTCCTAGTTTTCCTTTCATCTACTTTTCATTGTCTTCTCAGATTCAGACAGGAATCAATAAAGCTCCTTAAATAAATCTCTTGATCTTTTCCTTCAGTCAAAAAGAATCCTATGCACAGTCCATTGGGTATAACCAGTACCAAGGCACTTGGCTCCCTATACAATATGAGACCTAGCCAAGCCCTGGCTTCAAACTGGGTCTATAGCTTTGTTTAGTGCACTGAGAGCAGTGAAAAGACCTTGAGCTCTACTAAAGTTCAACCCAGTATTACTTAAAAGTTCTTGACTCCCTTGTTTGATCTCTACATTTTAGGTCTCTACTGATTTTCCAGGATTATTCAGACAAAATATTAGGACATGATTAGACCTCCTCAGGGAACTACCAATCAGAAAATAATCCTTATATTTTGTAAGATTTGATAATCCTACATCTTAGCTTGAACTCTTAGTTTTTAAGAGTAAATATAAAACAAGAAAGTGAGCTGGGTGTTCTTAATTTGCAATTAAACTAAAAGTAAATTTATGTCAAAGTATGAACACATTTCCTATTTTAAATAAATTTGTTTGTGCTATGGAGATGTTTTTCTGGAAGTCACAAGCTATAATGTTTTGGCCTAACTAGTTTTCTGTTCAAATTCAAAGAAGTAAATACTTTAAGACTTCTTATCTCCTTAAGATGAAGCCCTATATGACAGGACTTGTTCCCATACCTGGCGGCAGAATTCAGAGACTGAATACCTAACTAAAATAGTAGAAATCCATAGGCAATTCATAGAATTAGCTATACAAAAGGTACTGAGCACTAAGTCTAGTAGGACCTATGAAAACAGCAAACAGGATATTGTGAGTGAATTTTAAATGATCCTATGTTATGACATAATAAGTAAGTCTCTATAGTAATGCTGATACTGCTTAGGATAGGCTTTGAAAATCACATTAGGAAGTTTCATCTTGCAAATATAACTTTAAGGACTTTCAACCATTTATAAATTAAAATAAGCAGATACACTGCTTTCAATATTTCTCTAACTCCAGATTATTACAGGGAATATGAATGAACTTTAAGACCCCTGAGTGTCATCACAGAAAGAAACATGAAGGACAAGTATCATTGCATTATCCCCATCATTTCCAGGTCATAGCAGTAAAGGAACAAGGATGTATTTAAGATGAAGTACCCTTAGCAAGAGGTTATGACACAGAATAACAGAAGTATTTGTAAAGGTTCCTTTGATAAATATTTAAGAGAACTAAAACAGCTCTCCTTCCTATTCTCATTCCACTGATCAGAAGCTTTACATAAACCATTAAGCATGTGTTTGTATTTGTCTGTAATAATGTTGTGCTCTATGTGCAGCCCTCATATGGACTGCATCTAGGAGTTGGTACATCAAAGCAGTGTAACTCAAATAACTTAAATGTGTTCTTCTACATGTTCCCCAAGGCTAATTTCACAATGGAGATATCTATTAATCATTCACAATTTTAGGAAATAAAATGCAAGGATTCCATAAAATCAAGACAGGACATATAATAGGCGGAAGTCAGTGAACTGGGATCGCAAAGGATTTTATAATAGCTATACTACCCATTTTAAATTTTAATTACCTCTTGAAAATATTAGCACCTATAATTAAAAATACATTGTGATAACTCCTAAGTTACCTCCTTGTCTAGCATACAGACTTCCTCCAAAATAACCATTCACTGGAGATGTAGCAGCATAGACAAATATGGCTGTACTGAGCATTGATCCTCTCCTAAAGAGGTGAAAACATATGGAAAGTTAAAACAATTTAAAAAAAAAAAAAATCACACATTCTCCCCGATTAGGTTAATTTAATTTCAAGGAAAAAAATTAAAAATACAAAAAAGACTACATTCTGTTCTATAAAAGACCTAAAAGATTCTCTAGTGAATGAATTCATATTAAAACTGTTCTTTTTGAGCAAGAAGCAACTTAAATATGTTCAAGGACCATTTTCATCTTCAGAATTAAGGATTATTTTAATGTTACGTCATTGCCTTTTCTCTTTTACTTTCCTTTTTAGTTTTATTTTAGGATTCCCTATTTTTAATGTTCATATAGAGATTTCTTTAACTGAAACACCGAATAGTTTCTCTGGTATGAAAAACTATAATAGTACACAAGATCCTAATGAGATAATTAATAATGTGAAATAGGAAGTAAAGGGCTAAAGGTGTAGGGAAAGTAGGAAGGGTGGGGGAAAGGTAATAAGGGAGAGGAAAAAAATATGACAAAATGAAAAAATGGAAATAAAGTGTCTGTAGGGGGAAGAAAGGAGGGGGTGAAGGGAGGGCAGGGACAAGGGGAAAAAATGAGAATCAAGACCTATCATGTAAAGGTACAGGATCCCAATAATGAATGTAATTGTACTGTATACCTAGATTGTACCAATAAACTCAATAAAAAATTTTTTTTAAAAAACTGTGTTTTGTTTTGTTTTGTTTTTGACTTTTTTGAGACAGGGTCTCACTATGTAGTTGAGACTGACCTGGAACTCACTATGTAGCCCAGGCTGGTCTCAAACTCAGCGATTCTCCTGCCTCAGCCTCCCGAGGGCTGGGATTACAGGCATGCGCCACCACACCAGGCCTTAAAACTATTCTTAAATACCAGGCTAAAATTTTTTCTAATCTACAGTTAAATTTCCTAATATATTCTAAACAAACATTTCACATTTCCTTGGCAAAAATATTAGATGCTGGCACTTAAACGGTTCTGCAACCCTGGTAAATTAAGCCCATCACACAGAACAGGATATTCAGCTGGTTTAAAAAAATGAGAAGAATATTCTTCTTCGTAACTTGATTCAACTGCTTAAGAGTCTTGCTTAGAAATAAAAGCAGGACTACTTATGTTAAGCATTATTATTTCAAGTGGTATAACACTGAGACTTTCTGTATCAGTTTCCCTTATGCTGTCAAAATAATTTTAAATCTACAGGTCCACTAGTAAACATTAACTAAGATCTACAATCCTAATTGCCCCTTCCAGTAATGATATCTAGGGAATTCATACCAGCCCTTCTGTTGACTAAAACTGGAAAAAAAATTTTAAGTGCCTAGTTGCAAAGAGAAATATCAAAATAACAAATAACAGTATCATTTGCCATAAAACAGAAATGTACTTATTAACCCATGACACAATTCAACCCACCAATCTTGCAGTATGTACTCTTCTGTTCAAATACCTTTGCTCATTTTCTTAAATAGGATGCATAACTGAAAACATTGCAATATTTCATTCCCATCAACATACAGCTAAATACAAGTATAAAACAGGAATTCATCAGGCCGGGGATTTAGCTCAGCGGTATGGTGGCCTGCCTTGCAAGCGCAAGGACCGGAGTTTCCCCCGGAAAAAAAAAAAAAAAAAAAAAAAAAAAAAAAAAAAAAAAACAGGAATTTGTCATTCTCAAGTTTGAAAGTTTATAGATCGAAAAATTTAAACTGCTTTTTTTTCCTCAACAATTCAATAAAATAATACAAGTGTTTTTCAAGTACTTCCAGGCTACTGTTAAAAATTTTGGCCCTAGGGACGGGAATTTAGCTCAGTTGTTCTACTGCCTGCCTTGCAAGTGCAAGGTCCCATGTTTTACCCCCAGTACAAAAAAAAAAAAAAAAAATTGGCCCACTCTGTTTATAAATATGTACATTAAGGCTGACCTAGACCTAACAAAGCTGAAAAAAAGGACAGCTTTCAGCATAAGAAAATCCTAATTCCAGTCAGAAGTTTCTAGTGTCATCAGGAAGAGTTCAAAAGGGCTGCCTGTGAAACTGAGGGTACAAAATGACTTAGTGTTAAGTTTCAGGTCCCTGGAGAGTTATCCGTTAGACTTAAAAATAAAACTTATCCTCACCTCTTTGCTCATATTCTATGACATTTCACTTGCCCCTCCCTGATGAACCATTTTTGTCTACACTAAAAAATCCAGAGGCATCCGAGTTTGATCCCCAGTACCAAATAAATAAATATAAAATAAAAATTAAAAATCCAGAGGCAGCCTCAGTATTGAAACTGGAGGGAGAACCTTTAAGCAGGGGCTGTGCCTACACTTGTAACTAGCTTACCACTCTCCACTGCAAGTTGTAGAGCAGCAGCAGGAGTATACCAACCATGCTGTCACTGTTACAGTGCTGTGCCTTCTCAAGAGTTAGTATCATACAGTGTGTAGCCAGTGATACAGATCTACACGCTCAAAATACTTTTTCCTCTCTGATTACAGTGATCACAGAAGCAAAGAAACTTTCTCATGTTATATTATAATCAGAATCATTTCATTTCTGGCATGATTCATCTCAATTTTATAGGTGCCTTTTTTAATTTGTCACAGCTTCATTTTGCTATTACTGCTACTTTCATTTCTGTAACATAGCAAATTAAGAAAAAAGTTCTACAGTAAGACTGTCTAAATTTGAATCTCAGATTATCTTTTAGTAACAGCTACGTGATCTCAGTTGAATTATTCAACCTCTCCAAGCTTAACTTTCCTTGTACTAGAATAGAAAGAGTCCCTTTTACAGAGTTGATGTGAAAAATTAAAGCCAATGCACATAAAGCAAAAAACATGACATCTCACTTACATTAGTCCCTCTTATAGTAATACTTATTCCTTTAGTACTTATAAGTAATTACTTTAACTTCAAATAAGCACAGCATAAAACAGTAATTTACAGTAACAGAAGTAAAAAAACAATGCATGACTTGCCTATTAATATCATCTATTACAGTTGTTTCCTATTTCTAAAAACTGAAGGTCTTTAGAAGAGTTTCTGCATTAAAAAGAAAATGCCAAAATATAACACTAACATTTTGAAAAGCAAAGCAAAAACTTGGACTCTAGAAAAAATTATTCTCAGGCTGGGGATTTAACTCAGTGGCACTGCCACCTGCCTCACAAGTGCAAGGTCCTGAATTCAATCTCTGGTACCAAAAAAAAAGTTATTTTCTAGTGGTTCTTAAAGCTGAATAGCATACTCAGTGTCAATTCAAAAGTGATAAATTTAAGCCAATATTTAATGTAAAGTACAACTTGTTGTCAGATTTGAATTTTTTTCTTATATTTAGGATTCAGTCTATCTAAAATATATTATTCCCTAAAATACGAACTACTCACCATAAATGTGAAGTTTAAGTTTTGGCTAATTATTTAAAGCTTCTGAGATAAGTGAATTGAAAAGGTTAGATACATTAAAGAAACAAAATAGAAACTACAGGGAAACAACTTTGTTGTTAATACATATTCATTTCAGTTCAACAAGCATTGATCGGGTAACTTTCACATGCAAAGCTCTTTGTGTAGGTACAGTACTTTGAGAATTAAAAGGTTAAGTTAAAACCCTACTCTTAAGGAACCTACTGAGAAGAAAAGGAAATTTAGTATACAGTGAAATATTTAATATACAACTAAAGAGTTATTTTTTCTGCACAAATTTATTGCTTACACTTGAAATAGTAGGCATGAGTACATTATGAAATACAGAACATGAAATACATTATGAAATAGAGAACAGTGTTATTCTGATAGAGGGCATCAAGGAGCAGCATGAAGTACCTAAATCAGAACCACTGCCATCTACATAACGAGAGAATCTTTGCTTTACAGATGATGATGATGTCTCTGAGTACAAGGTGATGGGACTACTTTTGGGAATGTACAACATCTTTCAATACAAAGATCTCGAATCAAAATTTCTAACAATATTGTTAGGAAAAAAAACAGAATGTAAAGATAGGATACTAGTCTAGGACTTTTGTTTTTAAGCAGTCATCCTATTACTTTCTAACCTTGTACAAATTTACCATCACTGTTTACATTCTGTAGAGTCTCGTGAGTTTGGAGAGAAATGTGAAGTACTAATTTACTAACTGTGTAATCGTGGTACTTCTTATTAAGATCTAACTGAATGTTTAACCTTCAAAAAAAAAAAAGAAAAACCTGTTCACTTTGTTAAACAGCTCTGAGTTCAAAGTAATCTCTGCTTAATTCTTTAATAGAACAAAGGCTTTGTAACCAATCAAAATGTTCAGAGAAATATAGTTTAAGGTTATTATTATTTGCCTATAATGATATAGTATTTAAATTCTAATATAATAGAAATAAGCAAATATTTAATTATGATAGACTTTAAAGGTTTTATTAAAACTATTCAAGAACTAAAAAGAAATAAAGTATAAGCACTTACTCTGTATATAAATCTTCTATCATTGCAACAATAATAACAATGAGAGACACAGCGAATATCTGACATCCAGAGCCAATGAGAGAGGAAAATATCAATGGGTGACTTGATGGTCGAAATACATCTCCATGCACCTGCTTCCATCCATACTCATCTCCTAGGTCTCTATCCTATTTAAATATATATGTACAGAGAAACAAAAACCACTCAGAATCAAATTAAAAGTCAATATTTTTTAAAATACAGTTTTAAGTTCCCACTCTCCAAATTTACAGCTTTTTAAAAAGGTTCAAAATAGTAAGAGATATTTCACATTTAAAATGTCACTGCCAGAGGACTGCCACAAGTTTGAGGCCAGCCTGGGCTATACAGTGAGTTCAGGGCCAGCCTGAACAAAATAGCAATACTTGTCTCAAAAAAAAAAAGTCCCAAATTAAAATAGCAGAGCCTTGAGCCAGGTGTGGCGGCACATGCCTATAATGGGAGGCTGAGGCAGGAGGATCGCTTCAAGTTCAAGACCAGCGTGGGCTACATAGTGAGTTCCAGGTCAATCTCAACTACATAATGAAACCCTGTCTCAAAAAAAAAAAAA